GCACAGAGTGGGCATTCGCAGAATTAGTGAGTCTGGCACAGAGTGGGCATTCCCAGTATTAATAAGCCTGGCACAGAGTGGGCATTCCCAGTATTAATAAGCCTGGCACAGAGTAGGCATTCGCAGAATTAGTGAGTCTGGCAGCCAGTAGGCATTTCCAGCATTAGTAAGCCTGGCATAGAATGGGCATATCATGTTTTAGAGAGTCTGGCATAGAATGGGTATTTCGTGTATTAGTGATCTTGGTGTAGAATGGGCATTTCCTGTATTAGTGAGTCTGGCATAGAATGGGCATTTCCTGTATTAGTGAGCTTAGTGTAGAATGGGCATTTCATGTATTAGTGAGTATGGCATAGAATGGGCATTTCCTGTATTACTGAGTCTGGCATAGAATGGGCATTTCATGTATTAGTGAGTCTGGCATAGAATGGGCATTTCCTGTATTACTGAGTCTGGCATAGAATGGGCATTTCCTGTATTAGTGAGTCTGGCATATAATGGGTATTTCTAGTATTAGTGAGTCTGGCTTATAATGGGTATTTCTAGTATTAGTGAACACTGCATTGAATGGGCATTTCATGTTTTAGTAAATCTTGCATAGAATGGGTATTTCTAGTATTAGTGAGCCTGGTGTAGAATGGGCATTTTATGTATTAGTGAGCCTGGTGTAGAATGGGTATTTCCAGTATTAGTGAGCCTGGCATAGAATGGGTATTTCCAGTATTAGTGAGACTGGCATAGAGTGGGTATTTCCAGTATTAGTGAGACTGGCATAGAGTGGGTATTTCCAGTATTAGTGAGACTGGCATAGAGTGGGTATTTCCAGTATTAGTGTGCATGGCATAGTGGGTATTTCATGTATTAGTGAGTCTGGCATAGAGTTTGTATGGCATGGAGTTGGTAAATATTCCTTACTGCCCCACTTCCATGATTTTATTTTTCTGTTCCATTTTTTGTTCTCATATTTGCAGCTTATATTGTATAATAAAGTTAATAAATCGCTGATATCATATAGATATAAAATTACAGCTGTCGTGAGAAGTGCACACCTGCATGACATGTCTTTGCTCCCAAAATGCATTTTAAGGGATCGTGTAATGCATTCCATGAGATAGTATATGGTAAAATTGAGTTAGAATTAAAGGGACACTATAGTCACCAGAACAACTACAGCTTATTGAATTTGTTCTGGTGATTAGAATCATTACCTTCAGGCTTTTTGCTGTAAACACTGTATTTTCAGAGAAAATGTAGTGTTTACATTACAGCCTCGTGATAACTTCACTGGCCACTCCTCAGATGTCTGTTAGAGATCCTTCCTGGGTCATGGCTGCCTAAAATGTATCCAAACATTCAGTATCTCCACCCTCTGCATGCAGACACTGAACTTTCCTCATGGAGATTCATTGATTAAATTCATCTCTATGAGGAGATGCTGATTGGCCAGGGCTTTGTTTGAATTGTGCTGGCTCTGCCCCTGATCTGCCTCTTTGTCAGACTCAGCCAATCCTATGGGGACACATTGTGATTGGACTAGGCTACCACTTCTGCTGATGTCAGCAGTGGGCAGGTCTAAAGGAAACAGGGACAAAATATGCAGCTGCAGACTTGAATACAAGTAAGTTTTACTATTTGTAGGGAGGCATGAGGGGGCCTGTGGGCCTAGATAGTGGTTTTAACCCTATAGGGTCAGGAATACATGTTTGTGTTCCTGACCCTATGGTGCTTCTTTAACTTATTTCTTCCCATTAACAGATTCGTTTCAAAGGGAAAAAAACATGGATTCAAAGAAATCTGGAAAGAAAAGAAATCGTTATTCATCTCAATCCTCTTCCTTTGAAAAACCTGGAACATCTTGGCAGCAAGAGGTACATACTATTATTATCATCCTGTTTTATATGCAGGAGTTAAAAGCATACTACAAGCACCATAACAACTACAGGATGGTGCACAGTTTGTGGATAAACCCAACACAGATAATATAATAAATATAGAAATGTGTATATAATATTATAAACACACACACACACACAATTTTCAGACAGTACCTGCCACAGAGTGCTTATCTGCTATAGTATGTTGTCTGTTCCTATTGTATAGAGAGCGATTTTACCTCTGGGAATTCCAATATTTTTCACACACATACTTGCAGAACGTCATGTATTTGCAATTGCAGATCAGCAGACAGTTTCATATGGAATATGCGTTTTACCTCTTACCGTGCATGCAGAATCCTCAGCCTATCTCTTAACCACCACACTTTTCTTTAATTTACTACATAAACTCTTAATGTGTACATATGCATATCTGTGCAGACACAATTAAATACAATCATACATTTAAATAGATTCTAAGAGTGAGATTTGTGAAAGTAGGATTGCATATTCCATAGTCTCTGAATCCCAAATGCACTATAGAAATTGAAGAAAATAGGAAGCAAAAAGGATACACTCATAGAAGGGATTAACCCTATATAGACTACAGCAGTAGTGAAAGTGGAGAAGGAGAACAAGTGAGTGCCCTCAAATTAAAATATAACTTTTAATATGAAAATAGATTAAAACAAATTATATGGTATAAAGATCAAAAACAAATATTTATAATAAAATAAAATAAAATACTGTAGGATCAATAGTTTTTAAAGCGTAATTAGCGATAGTAAACCAAGGAGGTCCTGTTCAAAAGTTTTCAGGACAAGTCTCCAAATAGTATGCAGAAAACCATATAGGTTTTCAAATGCATAAAAGTATGTGTTTCAAATAGGTTAACTTCAGCGGAAATGCACAGTCCATACAGTATTAAATAGAAATTGTTGCATACATAGTGCTGGTTGGATCCAAAACCTGCACTAGATAAAATTTAGTGTAAGAAAAAATTGTATTCCTCACTAAATAACCAACTCATACAGGGATTAGTACGAAAATATACCAAGAACATGTGCTCTATACATCCCCCACTTGTATAGCTGGAATAGGGCTAAATGTCGAAGTATAAAGTATATTAAGTCTAATGTCCGTCTGAACAGACGGCGATACTGTGGTCAGTGTGAATCCCAAATGTGTGTATGATCTGAAACCTTCAGATCTTTTTTTAGCATTATATCTTATTTATTTGTACCAAAGTTTTTATCGTAAAATGTATTTGCAAATTTAGTTCTGCACAATATAATCATTAAGAATATTCCTGCCAATCAGATTATTTGCTGAAATGTAGTTTCAGAGAACTGCACTGTTTACATTGCAGCTCTAAGTCTGCCCTCAGTGGCTGTCTACCAGACAGCCACTGGGGGCGCTTCAGGAATCGAAACAGACTTCCAGCGTCAGATTTTCCCCATAGGAAAGCATTTAATAATGCCTTCCTATGGGGAGGTCCAGAGAACTGCACTGTTTACATTGCAGCTCTAAGTCTGCCCTTGGTGGCTGTCTACCAGACAGCTACTGGGGGCGCTTCAGGAATCGAAACAGACTTCCAGCGTCAGATTTTCCCCATAGGAAAGCATTTAATCATGCTTTCCTACGGGGAGGTCGTATGCGCGTGCGGCCATTGCCGTGCATGCGCATTAGGTCGCCCCCACCGGCTGACCCTCGGTGCTGGATTCAGGTAAGTGGCTGAAGTGGTTTTAACCCCTTCAGCCCTGCGGGAGGGTGGGGACCTATTAACCTTATAGTGCCAGGAAAACAGCTTTCCTGGAACTATAGGATCCCTTTAAGAAAACAGAGATGATGTTGTAAAACAAAGGTTCTTATGTACCTTTGAGCGCACCCAATTTAAATCAAAGCTAAATCATCCTTAATGTTTTGGTATGTTGTAATCGGTCAGAAATATATATCAAGATGATATATATAGATCATAACAGGATTTCCAGAGAAAGCCTTATGTGTGGTCACAAACCGTATCCTTGTGTCTGCATACAATACTGGTTTCATGTGGAACACACAACAACTTTGTATTCCTTACACTATAGAATCCCTTTAAGGCTTACAGGGACACTATAGTCACCAGAACAACTACAGCTTAATGTAATTGTTCTGTTGAATATAGTCAGTCCCTGGAGCCCTTTTGCTGTGGACAGTGTCTTTTCAGAGAAAAGGCAGTATTTACATTGCTCCCTAAGACACCTCTAGTGGCCACTGCTCAGACAGCCACTAGAGCTTCTTCCTGGGTCAGTGCTGCACTGTGCAGGAATGACGTTCAGCGCTGAACTTTCCCTATAGAGATGCATTGATTTAGTGCATCTCTATAAGGGGATATTGAATGGCCAAACCAGTGTTTGGCCCCGCCCATCTCCTTGACATTCTCAGCCAATCCAATGCTTTTTCAAAGGGATCAATTCTGATGATGTCAGCCAAGGAACAGGATCAGAGGTGGGGCCACGTGTCGCTGGAAATAAGATTTTTTTTATTTTTTATCTTTTAACGGAGGCAAGGAGAGGCAAGCTACCTAAATGGTGTTTTTAACACTATAGGGTCAGGAATCCACATTTGTGTTCCTGGCGCTATAGTGTTCCTTTAATTACTTGGCTAGTGATGGCTACTCTGGGCTTCCCATATATTTGTACAATACACTTACCGTGAAGTTTGGGCAATTAAACACTTTCATTCTGTCATTGCCCAGTTTAATCTGCCATTGTTGATTGAAACACAGTTCGAGTGCTTTATGTTCATAATAGCAAAGATTTATTTTTTGTCATTATCTTTTTTGTATATTTTTGATGTTCAAATTTAAGGGCAGCCAATAGAATTTGATCTGGAGTTGAGTCCATAATGACTGAAACACTATGTTACTTTGAAATACAAACTCTATATAAAACCGAGAATAGGGGGATATATATTTTGTGATAGTGAAAAGCTTTGTTAGTTTCTCTTCTTGTAGACATTATTTTATTACTGACAAATGTATTTGATTACTTTACCTTTAAGTCTGATGAAATTAACAAAGAGGAAGAGGATCAAAAACGTTTATGTCAACTGGAAAGTCACCTTTACTGCATTAAAAACAGAATGGAAAAAAAAGAGCGGAAAAAGGAGAAAAAGAAGAAAGAACGAAAATCGATGGACGTGGAAAAAGAAAGTTTATTGGACATGTGCACAGGATCGAAAAATGTCCCCCCATTGAAAGATCGCTCAAACAAAAGCAGTGAATTAAAGAGGCATCATGATTTAACTCAGAGTTTTCCTTCGAAGAAAAAATGCAGAGCAACCGATTTAAGCCAAAAAGTTGACTCCTGTTTGGCTCCTTTCAAGATAAAAAAAGGGAAGAATGAAAAGCAGACCCATTTAAAAATGATGAGAGATACTTCTTCAGATAAACATCACAATGGTACCCAAGAGGTCTTTTCCCAAAAAAAGAAATCTCAACAGAACCTAGAGTGTGGAGTATATGAACCCCGAAATACTCTTATTAGTAAAGAGGAACAATTTTCCAACAACTCAAAAAGAGTGCCAAAGTTCAAGGGTAGCTTCAAGCATGGTTCTAAATCTTGTGGAAAGGAAGAAGAACCTGTCTGTGATGAGACCATCAATCAGAACGTTAATGAATCCACCACAAAATGTACTACTGAGTGCCAGGGTAGTGGAATCCCAGGCTTCACGGCCAACACACAAATAGGTGAAAAGGTTTGGGATGCCAGCCTTGGGAAGAGCCCCAAACTGGACAGCATGTGTGGTAGTTCAGAGCACAGCCAAGACCTTTTCATCACGCAGAAGACCTATCTGCCTGCCCAGGTTTCAAGCAGTACCAGCTGTGAGTCTCCCCCTCCGGGGCAGAAACAAGTGCAAAGAAGCTACAATGAGCAAGCTCAGATGTTCTCCCAAATTTCAACCTTAACAGACACTGGAGCCAGCGAGTTTAATGTTTCTCAGTGCCGCGTGGAATCTGCAACAGGGAATTCTGTTATGTTCTCACACAAGGCAACGCAGACCGATGGTGTCTTTAGCTACCTAGCACTTATGACATTTGCAAAAAAAGCCAAAGTTTTGGAATCTTGTTCAGAAAAGCCTCTGGATTTGTGTTTACCTAGCCGTGTTAGAGCTCATGACGTCATTATAAAAAATGAAGTCAATGATGTAATCATAATCAGCGTTAAACCTGCCACTCTATGTCCTGTAGAGGAGACAACAAGAAAATTCAGCCTCAGTCAATTACGTAAAATGGAAGGGCGGTTTGTGCAGACATTGCTAAATTCATCTTACTTTTTCAAGGGAAAAGGAGAGCGCAATGATGCAGTTCATATTGCACCATTGCTGAGGCAAAAAATGGAAACAAAGAAGCGTGTGAAAAAGTCTAGTGGGATTTGACATAAAAAGACTTTTTCAGTGTGTGGCTTAGAGCAAATTTCACACACTTTAGCTGTTGATATCCATGTTATGTTGTCTGAAGTTTGTCCATTAAACAGTAAATTGAAGGGAACTGCACATTTTTGGCTAAAATAGAGAACTGGGGGGAAAAAAGCTATGTTGGAAAATCTGTCTCATTTTTCTATTTTAGCCTGCAATTTGCAGCTCTCTTGTCCACAATTCACAGTTTTCTGAATCCTTACCTCCCCCCCCCCTTTTTTTCTTTCTTTAAATGTTTTGAAGTTAATTCAGATGTTAGTCATTTAATATGAAATTATTATTGTCAAAGGAACTCTCCAAGCGCAATAACACTGTGGTGGTTATGGTGCCAGGAATGGCCTGCTGACCTCCCAGAGTAAGTAGTTAAACTATTTAAACTATTAAAATACAGTTTTACAATTTACCTGGATCCCACTGTGTGCCTGCCACTTCCTCCCCTGGAGCCAGAAGCTTCTGCCACTGAGTTAAGCCAGGGTTATTTCGGCTGGCAGTGCTCGGCTAACACTCTCAGCCAATGAGCTAATCCAGCACGGTGGCAGGGATTAGCTCACATGAACAAACAGAAGCTCATTGCAGGGAAAGCTAGGGTGAGACCCAGGTAAGTTTTTAATCCTTTATGAAATGGTATGACTATTTACTCTGGTTTGTGGAAGGGCACTGGGACAATCCCGGCAACATAACCACTACAGCAGGATGTTGTTGTTATGGTGTTTGGAGTGCTCCTTCTGAGGTTAACTTGTTAATAACTTCGGACCCAAATACATTTTGTTTACCTGCAATTGCAGTGTTTCATTTATAATTAATTAAATGAAACTATAGTTATTGAATGTATTAAACAGAGATTGTCAGTATATTAATGGTTTGTGACTAAAATAGCCAAACTGGAACTATTGGCCATTTTTCCATATCAGCTGTTTTAGCCTGTACTTTGTCATTCAGATTGTAGTTAGCAGCAATTTGTAATTTATTTGTTCTGCTTTATTATTCACACTAACAGGGTTATTATTGGGAAGTTGAAGTAAATTCAAAGTTCATTTCAAATTTAAGGCCTAAGTAGCAGAACTGAAAGCATAGGTAACTTGGAGAATTTCTCCAGTTCGGCTACTTTTTAAACTCCCAACAGTTCTCACAGAATAACCCGGTAAATGTTAAGACCAAATATTGACAAACAGCATAGGGGCTGTGGAGGGTCTGTCCCTGAATATCATGTCTTTCTTGCAGGAGTTTATATCCTGAATGTCACACAAATTCTATGGTTCAACGTACCTGACCCAAACCATGTATAAAAGAGGATTTTATAACTGGCTCCTGAATGATGTAAACAGGAAGACATATTAATCAGACTACTTCATGTCTGAGAAAACCTTTATCTGTACGGACTTGTCTTTATAGTCTTCCGAGTCAAATTCACACAATACTTTGTGTCATCATTACAAGCGAGCAGATTCTGTATTAATTAAGAGCAAGCATAATTACCCCAGCAGGAGATTTTATGGCAGAATTTAATCTACAGAAATTTTTTTACAGTTTGCAAAAACTCAATATATTCCTGAATAAAATTATAAAAGGATCCATAACTCTTCACAGTTATATAGTGAAAATAAAATACATTGTTTAATTTTACTATGCAAAATAGTATATGGGTATGTGCACAGAACCACTAACATCATAAAGGAAGACTATAGTGTTAGAAATCTAAACATGGATTCCTAAGGCTATATTGATGGAATAAGGTAATTGAGAAAAGCGGTTTAGGTATTCCCCCTGCCACCCTGTAAGGGTTTGAAGGGCTTGTTTTACTTATCTTTCTTCCCTCGCCACAGCCACTCCATCTCCCTGGCTGAAGTCATCAAGATTGGTAATCTCAGCCAATCCAATTCTAGACTTGTGCACAAGAATCGCCATACGGCGCCAATTAAATTGGATAAACTACTGAGTCTGACCCAGTTCTCACAGGGGAGCTTCTCTAGTGAAAGGAAGACAGACACTAGAGGTGGATTTAAAGGGACACTCCAGGCACCCAGACCACTTCTGCCCATTGGAGTGGTCTGGGTGGCAACTCCCATTACTCTTAACCCTGCAACTGTAATTATTGCAGTTTTTTATAAACTGTTTGAGGACCTCCAGCGTCGCTCAATTCCCTATAGGAAAGCATTGAAAATCATTTTTAATGCTTTCCTATGGGGAGACCTAATGCGCATTAGGTTTCCTCAGCCAGCGGGCGGGATCAGTCTCGCCCACCGGGTGACGTAATTACTGGGAGGAGCAACGCCGACCCGAAACCACCGCCGAGGGACATCGGTGGGGTCTCAGGTAAGTGGCCTGAAGGAGTTTTCACCCCTTCAGCTACCTGGGATGGGAGGTGGGAGAGAGAGGGTGCCTGCAGTGCCAGGAACACAGATTGTTTTCCTGGCACTGGAGTTTCCCTTTAAAAACTAACACTATAGTGTCCGTTTCCCCCCCCCCTGCCACACAGCACTTAAAGGGTTAAAACCCCTTTTTCTCACTTACCTTATTCCAGTGCTGAGGTCCCTCAGCTATGGCTTCATCTGTTGTGACAGTAGCATTGGGTTGGCTTAGGGACCTAGTGCGCGGTAAGCGCTGAATACGCATTAGGCTTTCCCCATAGGAAAGCATTAAATCAATGCTTTTCTATAGGGATTTAGAAGATGCTGCGTGTCCTCATTAAAAGTGTCAAACTCCGTGAAACAACAGGAACTGCCTCTAGTGGCTGTCTGGTAGAAAGCCACTCTGGTAGACAGCCACTAGAGGCAGTCTTAGAGTTGCAATGTAAACATTTCAGTTTCCCTGAACACAGACCATTTCGATGAGATGAAGTGGTCTGGATGCCTAAGTATCCCTTTAACCTTGCAATGGAAACATGGTTAATACAATAAGGGTATTGTACCCAGATCATGCCTTTGAGATAAAGTGGTTTGGGTGCCTTTATTGAACACAGGGACTTTCAATAATTCCAGGGTTTATGCACTTATGCACATACTCAACTATTTTGTATATAAAGACAATACACAATGTTTTTTATAATTTTTGTAATTGTGTAGAGTTGTGAGCCTATTTATTATTGTATTCAATTATATATATATATATATATAAATATATAAAAGACAAAATGATCCTTGCACTCACGTGTTCCTTGAATATTGCCCGGTGCATAAGCCAGCGGACAATCTAATTATAGAAACCAAAAAGATGATGGCTGCACTCCTCGGACTTCTTAAAAATCAAAATACTTTATTGTAAATCCATTAAAAAATTACCAACGTTTCAGCCCAGAGAAGTATTTTGATTTTTAAGAAGTCCGAGGAGTGCAGCCATCATCTTTTTGGTATATATATATATATATATATATATATATATATATATATATATTGTGTTTTTACACACTGTTTTTTCTTTGTTCACATGAGTTGTGTTTTTGTTTGATGGATTAAGGAAACAATATAGCATTTTATCTGTGTGATATACAGCCCTTCCGTAGCATCTGTGCCTTCTCTGTTGATGAGATATTTATAATGTACTTTTATCATTGAAAATATATCAGTGAAATTGTTAAATGTTTATTTTTTTTTTTCATAAAATAAAACTAATAATATGTCAGTTGTCATTTCCTAATTTTTAAAACATTTAGGTAGTTTTAAATATCTCTGAAAGTGGAGCAGTCACCGCGACAACCAAAGGAGACCATAGTAGGAGGGAAGAGGGACAGAATATCCGGCCCTAATAGGAAATAAGGGGACAGAATATCTAGTGGTAATAGGTGGGAGGGGGACAGAATATATGGCAATAATAGGCGGGAGGGGGACAGAATATATGGCAGTAATAGGCGGGGGGGACAGAAAATCTGGCAGAAATAGGAAGGAGGGGACAGAATATACAGCAGTAATAGGAGGGAAGAGGAACAGGAAATACGGCTGTTAGAGGAGGGAAAGGGACAGGAGATACGGTTGTAACCGGAGGGAAGGGGGACAGAATATCTAGTAGTAATAGGCATGAGGGGGACAGAAAATCTGGCAGTAATAGGAAGGATGGGACAGAATATACAGCAGTAATAGGAGGGAAGGGGAACAGGAGATATGGCTGTTAGAGAAGGGAAAGGGACAGGAGATACGGCTGTAACAGGAGGGAAGGGGGACAGAAGATATGGCTGTTAGAGGAGGGAAAGGGACAGGAGATACGTCTTTAACAGGAGGGTAGGGGACAGGAGATATGGCAGTACTAGTAGGGAAGAGGGACAGGAGATACGGCTACAGGGAGTGCAGAATTATTAGGCAAGTTGTATTTTTGAGGATTAATTTTATTATTGAACAACAACCATGTTCTCAATGAACCCAAAAAACTCATTAATATCAAAGCTGAATATTTTTGGAAGTAGTTTTTAGTTTGTTTTTAGTTATAGCTATGTTAGGGGGATATCTGTGTGTGCAGGTGACTATTACTGTGCATAATTATTAGGCAACTTAACAAAAAACAAATATATACCCATTTCAATTATTTATTATTACCAGTGAAACCAATATAACATCTCAACATTCACAAATATACATTTCTGACATTCAAAAACAAAACAAAAACAAATCAGTGACCAATATAGCCACCTTTCTTTGCAAGGACACTCAAAAGCCTGCCATCCATGGATTCTGTCAGTGTTTTGATCTGTTCACCATCAACATTGCGTGCAGCAGCAACCACAGCCTCCCAGACACTGTTCAGAGAGGTGTACTGTTTTCCCTCCTTGTAAATCTCACATTTGATGATGGACCACAGGTTCTCAATGGGGTTCAGATCAGGTGAACAAGGAGGCCATGTCATTAGATTTTCTTCTTTTATACCCTTTCTTGCCAGCCACGCTGTGGAGTACTTGGACGCGTGTGATGGAGCATTGTCCTGCATGAAAATCATGTTTTTCTTGAAGGATGCAGACTTCTTCCTGTACCACTGCT